ACATCTGACTTTAGTATCTATAGTTTGTAACAGCACTTTCCCTCACACTACTTTGATTTATTGGAGAAATCAGTCTTTGTCTTACAAGGAGGTAGATGATCTGACTCTCGGATATAGCATTCCTGGCATTATTTGTTCTTAATTTGTAAAAGAGGACTAGGAAAAGGGCCAAGTCCACAGCTTTCAGGGGCCAGCTTGTTTTCTTTTCCACCCACTCTAAGACAAGCAAAGGAGGCTGGGCTCTAGTGATAGGAAGGGTTTCTAAACAGGCACCCCAGTTCCTTAGAGTCCTAAATCCATTGCTGTCCCTTCTGGAATAGAAGGTGGGAAATTGTTAGTAGATAGAGACATGAGACAAAACCTCTGTACACTTCTCAAGTGTTTATGGCATTGTATAGTTCTAATATTCTGAGATTCATTTTTGTATACAGTGATTTTCCTAAATATATTTTTGTTTTAAAAATGAAATAGCCTGAAAAATATTAATTAGTTTGTGTGGAGGGATTCCCTAGATTAAATAGGCCATGGAAATGTGCCACCAGCAGGCTGCAAATGTATCTTTTTAATCCCAATTCCATGCCTTGACATTTGTTAATTCATAGGAGAATATTGTATACTTCTGCTCCAAAACATAAAGAAAATGTTCAGTCAAGGATACAATATTTTGACAACAAACAAACACAATTATATGGAAAGATATCTATAATGCAAGAGATAGAGTGTAATGTATTTAGTGATGTGTGCTACTTTTATAGCAGTGCGAGTAGACATTATCAGTAATATTCTTTTTAAATAATCTGTGAGGCTGTTACATAGCTGGAGAATTTGTTAACAAGTAGGTAGTAACCAAGCAGACATAAAAGGCATTTTATATTCTTATGCTTAAGAACTATTTTGTTAAAAATCTAAGTGGGAGGTGAATTGGCTGTAGACTGGAAAGAGAAACTTAATGTATGAGGGTGGTTTGGGCTTATTTCAATAAATTTCCTATGTTTTTTCTTTTGAAGGAATAAACATGTATTGGATAAGCAGGCAGACATGTAGGCTGAATGCTTTGAAAGCTGGTGAAGGGTATGCTGAATCCCCACTGGTAAGCGCATATCTCAGTTAGTTTTCTCTCGTTGCTGAGACAAAATACCCAAGGCTCAAAATTAAGGAAGCAAAGGTTTATTTAGCTCACGGTTTGTGGAGGTTTCAGTCTATAATTGAGCTGGCTCCAAGGCAGGGTGGCAGGGCATGGGGGCAACACTTCATGGTGGCAGAAGACAGCAAAAGCAGCAAGAGCAAAAAGGGGAAGAACAAGCCTCTTTCCCTCCCTTATATTGTAGGCAGGCTGGCCCCACCCAGGGGGCGTGTAGCACTCACATAATCTCCATGCCCTCCTCTTGCACAGGCTCAGGATGAGTACAAAGTAAGGACCCTGGCCCCCTGTTGAATCACTTAGTTGAACTTTTAAACTTGTCAAGTTGACACAATGAACAACATCCTAGAGCAGGAAGGGCATGTCCTTTACACCCCAGGATGCAGAACTGCTGAGTCACTTAGCCAAGTCTCCAGACTCCTCAAGTTGACACAATGCATGGAGGGCTGGATTTCTAGCCTGGGAGGGGGGAAGTTTCAGCCTCACAGATTATTTAAAAAGTTTCAGTGTTCAGCTGGGATTGGGATATTGGTCTTTTGAAAACTCTCCTTGTGTGTGATGTCCTTACTTTAGCTGAGGATCCTGACTGAATCTTGTTATCTCCTGCCTCGAAGCTCTCTCAGCATATCGTAAGTAAGTTTAATGCAGAGGGTGGGGAGCGCCGCTCAGACAGCAGCTGACTTTGGACCTAACAGGCCTCCTGGACCCGGCATTGACCATGGGATTAGGCGCTCCCTCGGTTTCTTGAACGGGACAAGCAACACTGAGCTGTGTAATGGTGGCCTCTTGCACAGCAAGTGATAGTGAACTCCTTTCGAAGGGCAAGTTTGAGCTTGATTTATTTTAATGTTTTAGCTAGTTTTACTGAAGTATCATTTAAATATAGACTTTCCCCATTTTAGTGTACGTTTCTACAAACTTTAACACACAGAATTTTAATTGGGATATGTAACAATCCCACTGCCCTCCAGAAGTTCCCCGTGCCCTCTGTAGTCAGGCTCTAGTGCCAGCCCTGAACCCTGGCAGCCCCTGCTCTACTTCTGCCATTTGTTCTGCTATTTGACCTGGACTTAATTCCAACTCCCCACGATGAATAAATTTATTATTTATAGCAAACATGTACTAATGAAATAGAAATTAAAAGATAATTTAGGGCCAAGATTAGAGGGGTAGGGGAAGTAAAAAGAATTAAGATCTGTTTTATACATATAACAACACCCCCCAATGAATGTAGTTATTACATATAGCAAACATGTACTATTAAAAAAGTCTAGAAAAAAAAGTTTAAAAAAAGAAAAATACCCACCCCATACTACAGGTACACTGCATCAATCATACTTGATAGATTTTTTTGTTGTTGTTTGTTTTTGTTTTTGTTTTTCTTCTGGTACCAGGAATCTAACTCACAACCTTGCGCTTGCCAGGCAGGCGCTGTGCCGCTGAGCTAAATCCCCAGGCCCCCATACTTGATAGAGTTTGAAAAGCATTTCTCTATTCAGTTTTTTGTTGGTTGTATACAATAAGATACAAAACAAACAAACAAAACATAGAAAGAGGCCATTTATTTTTAAGTAAATGTCAGCTGTTCTTTGGTATAATTAGTAATTTTTGACTCAGACGAACAAATACTGTAAATAGTTATCCTAAAGTCAAATAAAACAGATATAGGTATTTGAGCAGACACAATCAATTTTTACTTACGTTTGTAAAGAAGTCTAGCTTTCAGAGAAACTAAGCTTGCAGACAAACTATGGAATTACCATGGTACCT